TGACGCCAGCCTGAGAAATATCATCCAGTCTCGTTACTGGAAGGCATCACGCTATGAAGTCATCGCAGTTTCACAGACCTGTACTCTTTCACTCACAGCCTGACTGAATCATCTTAGAGGATTGGCTGGGAAATTCCTCAAATATACGCTGACAGTTCCTAATTGTTGATATCACCTTGTAAAATTTTGGTTTCCGATTGGTTCAGGTTAATTTAGCGATGCTTTTAAACATCTGTATTTCGTGATGCAGTATACTGGATAAATATGTGGGCTTGTTTTTCCACTTATGTCCCTTAAGGGACCCTCCTATAATTCTCTGATCCTTACACTAATGTGCTGCTAATGTAAAAATATCTTACCAGGCATAAAAGCCTTGGCGACAAACCAAAGTGTATTATTCGATTTCCATGTTTTCAATATTTTCATTGCAGTCATTGTTCAACTCTAAAATGGTTTGGTAACTGCCAGCGAAGGAGTTTTATTTCTACAATATTTATGAATCTAACCGCGATGACAGTACTGTGCTGACATTTTGAATTATCCTTCTAATCTCTTCTTCATTTTCCACAATTACAACATACTCCGTACTGAACAAACAGTTGGAAGATACATGAACGTATTTTTCTTAATAGACAATATTGTATGTTAATGTTCTTTTACAGTCGTTTTGTTTTGGTTCCCGTAATACCTTTTAAGAGAAATGATGCATTTGGTTATTCTAAAAAAGCTAAACCCTGTTTTAAAAGCTAGGGAGACCTCGACCATAGCAGGGTTTGAGAAAACATAACACCATCAAAGAACAGAAAATTAGCATGAGGGAAAGTGATTTCCTTTTGGGACCGGAGGACTATGAGTATAGTCAATAGGTTTTTACAGAAATAAGCAGACGGATGGAAATAAATCATGACTCGTGAATTGTTCCAGGAGACGAAACAGGGTCAGAATACAGAGTGAGCGCAGTTTGTAACTTATTATAAGAGTCATTCTCCTTTATAACATGTCTGAAAAGATACACGTCTCTACACGCGCTATAAATATTATGCATATGTTGCATCGTACATTAAACATCAATGTCAGATTATTCAGTGATATTAAAGAATGCTTGCTTTGCAAGCGAGACATGCTCAATGGATCATAGCATCCACATTTAAAAACTTCATGAAAATTAATGAAATTAATTAAATGCAAATAAAAATCCTAAGGCAGGATGGTTTTCTGACAGAAATACTTGCGCTATTTTGAATACTAAGGACTAATCATTGCGTGAGCAGACTTGGATCCAAGCCAGGCTATCAAATTAGATGACATTAAGCTTTCAGTTGCCTCCCACATCTGAATTCCGTAGCTGTGTATTTTTCACTGCTGAAAACTCTTGGGTGAGTTTTCAGGTTGCTACAGCAGTGAAGAGTCAAAGACCTCCTTCATCTGGAGAATGTAGTTTCACTCGGTTAAATGACCTACTGCACTGTGATGAGAGTCAGCCATGGATGTCAAAGCTTAAGTCTGAGGAGTTACAGGGTTCCCTGTAAAGGTTAAAGGGGAGGTCGGATACATCCTACAGAGATAACCTTCCGCTCGGAATTCGCTCTCCAAGAATGCAGGGCGTGTAACAAACATTCTGCTTGCACAGAGACAAAAATGGAGCGGATGGATCATGTCACGCATTTATTTAGATTTTAAATCGATGTGGACATCATTTCTCCAAAATGATCCATCTTCTGTCTGGCTTTCAGGACGTGGCGTGTCCATTGTCATGATGCTCAGTTTTTATGGTTTGCAAAAATTCCAGGTGGATGAAAACACACTCTGCGGGTTTCAAACGGTCCAAAATAAATGGCCAGCGGGCCTGGCATATACACGTGAGAGGGACAGGAGCGAGGGAGCACCTTGCTGGGATCTCCCTCAGCCTCAAGCAGCTCCACGAGCAGCACAAACTACCATGAATGAGGCCCCCTATCACCGGCATGTGAATCACTGGGGCCAGGTGGGAGGGGATACTGGCAAGGGCACCAGGGCAGGGCAGCATCGTCTGAAGGGGCGCCAGCTTAGCAAACCGCCACCACCACCAACACCACCCCACGGCAGGCCTCCTGGAGGGCACCCTGGGACGTAGGAGCCAGGAGAAATGGGGGGGGGGGCATGAATCCCCCAATATTTAACTTGGCTTCATCCACCTCCTCCCAAAAAAATGGACCTTCACATTTAAATGATTAAGTTGTGTCCCCCTGATATCAAACCTACACCCTTGCACACACCCCTGACATCTGCTAGTGCACCAAATGGGCACACCTAGGGCACCAAGTAGGGCACCACATGGACTCACCTAGGGCACCCACTAGGGCACCACATGGGCTCACCTAGGGCACCACATGGGCTCACCTAGGGCACCAACTAGGGCACCATCTGGGGTACCACATGGAGCCATTTATGGTATCACCTAGGGCACCATCTGGGGAACCACATGGAGCCATTTAGGGTATCACCTAGGGCACCATCTGGGGCACCACATGGGCTCTCCAGAGGCACCACATGAGCTTTGAATGGCACTAGGGCCAGGAGTCATCGATCCGGACAGCAGACCACACCAACCAATCCTGTCTGCGGCGGGCGCTCTTAGTCTGGGCGACCTCAAACATGACAAATCTCCTGCGAGGTCCTGTGACATAATTTCAGGCCATGGGCTGTACGGGTCGTGCGAAAGGTGCTACTTAACAGAAAGGAATCCATAGGGCCTCAAGCAGCCACAATTGCAGACTTGTACATATGCTCATATGCAGCTTCTCATTCCCTGTGCAGCATTAATTATACCTCTATCAGTACCTTCTGAAGGAAATTGTACCCCTGTCAGTAATTTCAAAGAATTAGCCCTGAACACAGCTCTACGGGGGGGCAGGGATCAGAATTCTGGGCTGCCTGCCAAGTCTGAATCCAAAAGAAAAGCATTACAAACAGACGTGTGGCTCCGGGTAAGGCGATGTGTCAATGTCAACATCCCTAGAATGTCAAACTCTAATTAAAAAGTTAAATATATAACATAAAGAACATAAAGTTTTAGTTGGGACAACCAAAAAACATTCCTTTGTCCTTGTTGATCTTCAATCAACCATATTATCAATCAATGAACTAAAACAATAATAATAAATTAACTCATCACACCAAGCCATATCATCAACATTGATGTAAACAAAAAAAAAGGTATTTATGCATTATCCATATAATTATCTATTTACAGCGTATTTATCCTACACTAGGTCATGCTGTGCCGATCTCAACAAGAACAGGGTACAAGACAGGGGATGCCTTGGACAGGATGTCAGTCCACGGCAGATTTATGCATGAATTATATTCTCAGCACTCGGGAAGTTCATAACGAACTGCGAAATCCATTTTAAAAACAGCACATTATCAGGAGCTGCGGGCGACATCAGCGGACCGTCCATCAGCAGAGCAGAGCCCGCATCCATCACCGGATACCGGCCGCCAGCACCCAGCGACCGGTTCATACTATTTTCCCGTGCCTCCAAATCACTGGTGCAGGGATAGACCACATCACTGGCAGAGAGAAAAAAAAAACACATCACCAGCCGGGCCAGTTGCCCGATGTAAGCGCATTGCCCCTGCCAAGACACACAAGAAGGCGGTCGGCACACTCCCTGCCGCGTAACTACTGTGCACAGAGCCAGTACACAGCCTCACAGTGACGATCAGGATGCTGCAGGAGGAGGCGCAGTCTGCGCTGCACGGAGCGAATCGCGTCCCCGCAGAAACTTTCCCAATGCATTCGAGTACAGCGACCATGTATGCAATAACTGCACCGATCGAGATATACGCGCAGCCTGCTAGTTAAATAGTCCTAAGTTACTAGTCAGAAGTTGTCTGTTGTCCCCCCCCCCTAGTAAAAATAAACTCTCTCAAGGCGCGCGCCCTTTCCCAAGCATATAACCATGAATAAACAGATTCATTTTGTACCGAGAAGTGGCAACTGATAGCGGCCAAACACCCCCTCATCCTACCCGATATATGTCTTATCTGTAAACTCCTTTTCGTTTGAGAAAGTCCCTGCTACTTTATACGCATGGTTCCAATTTAAATAAAAAATGCTGAAACAAATGGCGTGGAAAAATACTGGCTGTGCATTAAAACAGAGACAGTAAAAACGAAAAAAAATAATATTAAAATTGACATAAAATATGCATAACATGCTACTTGAAAGGTCGATATTAGAAAAATTATTGTAGATATGAGCATAAACAAAAAGTTGCAACACTGCATTTCTGTTTTTACTTACGGAACTTATTAAGTCCATGAGAATGATTTAAAGTATTTTGGTGGAAAGTGTAACTGTGAAGTAGTAGACATGACCATGTCGTTCGCGTTCAATTCATCACTTTAAACAGCTGACCATTAGCCTAACTGTTAATACACGTAATTAATACGAGATAAACAAAAAGGCATTAAAAACGGCAATGTGCATGTCCTGGATACCAAACAAAACCAAGCATTCCTTAGATAAGAGGCGTACGTGTATATAATGGCTTTGCAAAAGGAAAGCATTATTTTAAATTGCACATTCAACAGAATTAAGTCCCTTTAAAACACCGAACGTAATAGATAAGCGAGACGCGGTATTTCAACGCTTATGTATTAAAACCACAAAAAAAAAAACAACCAATAACGAGAAACTTAATCATCCGGCCAGTCATGGCAAACGTGAGATTTTAAGACGTAAATTTCGGAGGATGGTAAAGTCGGATGGACTGTCACACGTAACGTCGCTTATTATAGAGGAGAGAAGGGAATATAGAAGTGAAATTCGGGAAAAGCAAAGGCTCAAGCAATGCTTATTCGTGTAGGGGAAACATGCCACACGCCGCATTTATTACAAAAGATGATAGACAGATAGATAGATAGACAGATAGATAGATAGATAGATAGATAGATAGATAGATAGATAGATAGATAGATAGATAGATAGATAAAAACAAAAAAAAAAAACTTACCAGACCATAGATGCAGCTCATGATGGAGCAGCAAAGCAGAAAACCCACGCCGTGAATCAGCAGAGTGGATCCCATAACTAAAGAAGATCCGCTGCAATAAAGTAACTTCATAAAACGTGACGCCCACTTAAACGCGCTTTTCTCTGACTTTCTCCCCTTCCGCTTAAAGCGGTGCCGAAGGATAAGTCACTCTCAATCCATCTGCTCCCCCATAACGTAGCTGATAGTGGCTTATAAAATTATAAAAAATAATCTTTTGGCTTCCCTCCTCTGCTCTCAAATCTGTAACCCATTCAAACTGAGCTCACTCTTTTTTATTTCCCTGCATCTGTCTTTTTTCTGAAATTACATCCACATGTCAAAACTATTTATGTCCTTCTCGCTCTGCGGTGGGAAGTTCAAATGATTCTTTGTGGAGAAGAAACCAGCACTTTCTTTTTCTAGGTCTTTTTAATTTTCCCCCAGCCTTACTATTTAAAAACGTTCCGCTTTGCAAAAGTACTTCTTTTAAACTGAGATTAAAACTCTAATAAAATGTCTTCCTTTAAAAAAAAAGTAATACCGAACTACAATTCTTGAGAAAATTGAAAACACATTATAGAAAAATATAGTTTTAAAACGTAGCCTGTGTTAACAGCATGCAGCCCGAGACACGCTTTTGCTGTCAGATCTGCGGACATAAAGCTCTTGCTGAGTATGCATTACATTTAATACGGAATAGCAAAAATCGATTTATGTCCAAATTCTCTTTATTTCGCATGTAGCCTATTTAACCAGTCACACATAAACTCACAATGAAAGACCGCAGATGAGTCTCTTAACACCCGTTCAGTCACTCTTCTACCCCTCTGCCACAAACTAAAACCCGCTGTTTATAATATTAACTTTCTCCGCGTCACCGTGACAAATAAATAGTAAAGATCCAGCCTTACAGCAGCTTATCTGCCGATGCCCTGCTCAGGGTAATCGCCGCTAGCTAATGTTTAATAAGCCGGAGGATGCATCCCCACCATGCGGATCAAACATACATCCCGGGATGGAAAAGCCGATCAACTCCTCAGTCTCGAAGTTTTTAAGTTGAGTCGCCACTTAAACGAATCGATTTTTTTTTACTTTTAAGCCAAACAAATGTGTTAACGCATGGGGATGCAGACAGACCGTGCAAAACCTAAAACCACACTATTAAGTCAACTAGTCTATAAGAGAGCAAATAAGCCTTCTAAAATAATTTAAAATCACTGATAAAGCTACATAAAGACTTCCAAATAATAATTAGTAGTTAAGAGTTTCTGAAACTAACGAGGGCTACAGCAAAAGATGCCATCGGCTCGCGCTCCGTGTGGATCTCAGTTTAACGACTCGCAGAGCAGGAGGCTGGCATTGCGGAGGCGCGTGCTGGCCGCTGATTGGTCCGCACCGCCGCACACGTGACTCAGACGGGCTTCAGCGGCGCATCGCTGCTAGCGCGCGGTACCTCTCCGCTTTATACGTGGTGTTAAGATACGAAGCGCAACGAAAAAGCAGGTTAAGTTAGACCTATACTCACGTGCAAAGAAAATGCACCAATAGTGATGCGTCTTTGGATGCAATTTGACAAAGGCAAAAAAAAAAACGGTTGGGCATGGGGCATTTTTGTTGATATGCTTGAGGGAAATGTTATTTCACACTTGTTAAATGTCACAGCTCAATTCATATTTCTCTTTTGTATTTTTTGGAATTGAGTCTCATGACGTAGTGGGCTTGTTTTTTTCTCCAAAAATATTTACCGTTTTTAATGAATACATAGATAATTTATAACAAACGGGGAGATATATTGGCTGCAATGTCCTCAATGTATCTGGAACAAATGTTTAATATAGCCAATATATAGAGCAGATTTGTTAGTATTGCTGGGCTTAGACATTCCTCCTAAGATAAATTACCTACAGTAAGTGCTTACAGAATGTACACAAGAATGTCACAGGCCTGACAAAATACTGCTTCTTCTTACACAAAAATAGGAAGATGCTGCTCAACAGCATGATTTTAACCGAATCATGTGAAATGTGATATATTCATCATCTGACAGGCTCCTTATGGCATTTTTCTATTATAATGAACCATGCTGCTTTGCGCAAACTATGCATCATCAAGGATCGGATGGATTGCTGGCTGTTTTTGAGAGTTTAGTTCAAAAGCCTGTGCAATAAAAAAGCTTAAATAGATATCAACTCATTAAAAAATTATTAAAATCAATAAATCGACAATAAATTAAGTTATACAACAATGTATAACAACTAAAATGCTACTACTAGTAGTACTAATAATAATAATAAGGATATAGAAAATGGATTGCTAGAAGGATAGCAACAACAACAATAATCTTTCCTAATGAGGGGGGTTAGGGGTTCAGTAGGTAACATTACTGTCTCAGATCCCATTGCTGTGTGTGTTCAGTTTACATGAGCTCCCTGTTGAGGGAGGGCTTGATTGAGGTGCTCTGGTATCCTCCTGCAGTCTAGGTGAATCAGTGCCTCCGAATTGGCCGTGGTGTATCTATGTGCTCTGTGATTGGCTGGCATCCTGGCCAGGAAGTATCCCTGCCTTGAGCCCTATGTTGTTTGGGATGGGCTTCAGGAAAAGTCGTCAAATAACGGATGGATTCAAAGTAACGAGAGGAAGGGCAATCACACTTTTCCAAGGACACGGATGTAAGTCAGTGAGTCTCACACACACGTGCTTCTCTCGGCGCTTTTTGGGCCTCACATCCTCCCCCCGGGAACCTGGTTCCCTCTGTTCCGTTTGATTACTGTGGGCCACATGTGTCTGGGACTCCAGGTATGTGGGAGACGAGACCTGCTGTCACTCAGTTCACACAGAAGACGGGGCCAGGCGACGCAGGAGGGACAGCGATGCTCTGCGACACACTCACACACACTCACACACACACACACACACACACACACACACACACACACACACACACTGCACGTGGCGAAAGTAAACCACAGGGGAAATGCAAAGAAAGCTCACAGCAATGGAAGAAAAACACAGAAGGTGTCGACTGAATATCTATTTAAGCGAGAGCCGTGTTTTCTCATTTAATACAGTCTTGTCACTTAGAACCTCATATATTATATATATTGTTCCTGTATCAAAGATTGCCAGAAATTCCAATCTGTTTTCACCCGCGGAGCAGCTAATCAGAGGGGGATTCTATTATCTCGGTGTTACGCCGTAATGTTTGGGTCAACGGTTTGAAATCATTCGGTCTGTTTGCTGCTGTTTTTACTGCCTTCCTGTAGCATACAGACCAGCACTGTGGTGATTAGTTTAAACAAATTAACTTTTACAATACCTTGATTCTGTAATGGTGAGATGGATGGTGCTGGTGTTTCATCTCGCTTTGAAACTTAAGTTATGTTTAGCTTGATGTAAAGCTGGGTAAAGTCATCTCGGGGTGAAAACAAAATCCAACTTTGGTGAAACACGGAAAACTTACCTGAACATTCTCCTGTCCATCAAACTGCAAGATTTTTCATGCAATGGCTATAAAGCGACCAATTATTCCCACAATTTCTTTCAATAAATAAAAAGGTTATATGAGAAATCAAATACTATGTCTTTAAGAAGTCAGGGGTGATTCTAGCATCTGACCTTTAAGGTGGGTTCACTCCCCAGAAGAAATATGGGGGGGGGAATCCCGCACAATAAAAATCTGCATGGGGGTCCAAAATGTATACAAAAATATTGCCGGATGGTTTTAGAAAAAATATTTTTGGGGGGGCTGGAAACTAAAATACAGTCTATGCCCTAAATTGGTTCTAGAACCACCTATGGCTGAAGGTATAGAACCACAGAACCTTTAAGGGAAGCTTCTCATGTGCTCACAACTGTCACGACCGCAAATGATCTGAGCCCACGGACTGTAGCCAGTTAACCGAGAAACCTTGCTTTGGGGAACACACCACCCTACAGGTACCTCCAAGAGAATACTGGCCAGGAGCCAGAGGAATGAAATGATGATGCTTTATTGATCCATGTGGGGAAATTCACTTTTCACCTACTCCATCTTGCTCTCCATGACACACACACACATACATACATTTAGAGGTGAGAGCAAGCTTAGCCGTGAAGGGCAGCCACCTGTAGCAGCACTCCGGGAGCTGGGGGGGGGGGGTTAAGGGCCTCACCCAGGGCTCACAGACGTGATCATTTTACCGAGGCTGGACTCGAACCCGTGACCTTCCAATCATGGGCACAGAGGCCTAGGCCACTGGGCTACACACTGCCCCCCAGGAGCCACTCTGAGCTGATTCGTCACCGCTGTGCTGTATTCACAGGTTTGTGCTCCCAGTTGTTAAAGCTTATGCCCCTTCTCTGTAAGACAGTGAACTGCACTGGTGAAATGCGGACTGGCGCAGCCCCAGAGCATGCATTTAGCATCTGCTGCATCGCAAGAAGTTGAGGTCTTGACTACTGGAGCATCCCGTTGTTAGTTTCATTGTCTGAAAAATGCACATAGTCCATTTTGCAAGAAAGCAGCAGCACATTTCAAACCTGCACTCTGCAAATCCATGATAGGAGGTATGAGGGGATGAGCTCAGACTGGCCCATTGTCATTTATGTGGCCCTTGGTCAAAAATAAACATGAAGTAATTTATTTGGCTTTTATTTTACTGTTCGGGTTTTCTTACTGTTTATGATTTTTATGAATATGATTAAGTATGATATTTTTATTATGAAAATTAAAGTGTTCATAAATATTCATTTGGCAGTTTTTCAGTTAAACAAAATACTTTGACTTTTGCATACAATTTTCCCCTGGATACAGGAATAGAGCTAAACTCATGACTTAAAAAGAAATTGTTTGCAAAATTGTTGCAAACTCAGCTTGATTACTTTGAGGTTAATCCAAAAAATAAAATAAAAATCATTGGTCGGATAAACATGAACATTTTGCTGGCACGTAAATCGTATTTTAAATTTTTTAACGAGAAGCTCAAGGTCTTTATAATTTTTAATGGTTTCTGGCTTCTAACCTTCCACAAGAATGGTGACATCATTAGGTTTTTTGTTGTTTTTTTTTTTCTTATTACAAGGATGCACGTCGCATACGTCCTCACACACGTGACCGTACGGGTGGAGACGCGCGTTCATGCTTGTGCCATAACCAGCCTGGAGGATTCGACTGGTGACCAGTAACACGGACGTACAGTAGGTGATGAAGGGCTGGGTTCCTGCTTCAGGTGTCAGTGAAGACAGACCAACCCCAACCTGCTACAAAAAAACCTTCTCGTCTTTGACCAACTGTATAAAAATAAATAAAATTTTAATAAGTAAAAACAATATATATGCTATTTATACAGCATAATTTTGGATTAAAAGCTATATTATCAAAATACGATATACTGTATTGATCCCAAGGGGAAAATTGTAATAATGTAAATGAAGTTTAATGACTTAAAGTGACCCACGATTCAATTCAATCCTATTCTCCTGCCTGTCCTGAACATATTCAACATTAGTGGTAGTTAAAGACTAAATTTAAATTGAATCCTGTATATTGATAATATATGGTTGATGGCTCCGCTGTATTTAGCCTTCTGGGGTTTTGTGAAGGATCCAACAATGAAATTAAGACACATTTAAAACAAAAGTGTGAAAGAATCTGTTTCCTTCCTCTTTTCTAGGGTACAACACCAATGTCCTTTTCAGCAAGGCAAGCCTGCTAACCTTTCTGCTGTACATCCCATAACCACCGCGCTACTTGCTGGTTTCCGTGACTAGCCAAATGTCAAAAAATGTCAAATCAAATAAAGCAACATTTGTGCCTGTCGCAATCAGCGTTTTAACCATTCAGTGGCGTTTTAAATCAAGCTGAAATTTCTGCTACCAGAGAAGCAGATCCACAGTTTGCCAAACATTATGATAAATCCTTTTTCTGCAGTACAGGTACATTGAAATTCTACTCTGCACCATCTTGCTCTCCATGGCTTGGCGGGGGGGGAGGGTGTCACAGCACAGACTCAACCAACATGCAGCATCCCTGGATCAGGGGGTTAAGGGCCTTGCTCAAGGGTCCACTGACATGTGACTGGTCTGCTGTGGCCGGTGCTTGAACCAGCAACTTTCCAATCAGCAGCATGGAAGCCAAACCCACTGAGCCATTCACCTCCCCCAACAGGTCAGACTGGTCTCCAGTCAGCCTCAAACTCAAGACCCAAGGTTTCAGCCACTGAGCTGCATGCTCAGCCTGTTTAGTTACACGGCAGCCTCATCTTGCATTGATATTCACTGCAGACATTCACCCAAATCCACCTATGCTTTTTAGCCATTTACCGGAAATCTTCTGCAACACTTCAAATTCAAACTGAATG